CAAAATCAAATTGTTCAATCTCGTTTCAATCGCATGATTTTAAACATATTTCTGGTCCATTCCAGTGGAAAGCAAACCTGGAATGACAAAATCAGATAAACGAGAAGAAAAACAAATCGTCATCGTCTGGAAACTGAAAAAAATGACTAGATGTAAAATTCCTTCTGATTCGCCCATATTCACCAATAGAACACATATGTTCATTTCGATTTGTGAGTAGTACACAATCTTTAAATCGCTTGTACAAGAAAGAATAAAATCTGTTAGAAATTTCATTGCGCGATAGTATGTATGTGTGTATGTGTGCGTTTTATTGTTTCGTATGCATTCATCTGTTTGCTTATGTATTCACATCATTCATTCATTACGTCCAATCTCAATCTTATTCTGAGAGGTGCAATGTCAAAAAAAAAGACAAAACATGAAGACAATCAAATGTAACAAACACACCCCAAACAGAATCAGCCAAGGAACCACAACGAAAATTGGGCGTTTGAGCCACATATCATCCCAGCTAGCTGTTTCATCACCAACAAATTATCATTATTCGTTCATTCGTTAATTTCTTCCTACACAACACTACTCTTCCATCCTTTGCACTTTTCTATTACGATGTCAATTAGTGTCTCATGTGTGGATCGCATTTTACTCGTCTCTGCGTATGATAAGTCATGAATGTTCAACTGACAAAAGTATCATATCCTGATTATTTTCATAAGTTGTCCGTCAGTTGGTTATACTCTCGCTCATCTATGAGCTGTACTCATAGAGTCGAAGCTAATAACTAAGTAAGAGTGCATCACTGAAGCATGATGGACAACTGAACGTAACATTTTACGCAAAATATACATATTTCATGCTATTATTTTACTAGAATGCAAAAGTGACAAGCAGATTCTAGGATGAATAACAGCCAAAACAACATCTGGGAATTGGACGGTAGTTCAACGAACCAATAGTCATTCTTAACGGAACACTCGAACTGACTATAAAAGGTGAGGGAATGAATGAATGAGCGAATGAATGAAAATAGGCGATTCGTGAATATTTATCAATCCGTGTAGAATATCCAGCACTTTATCAAAACTTCTTTATGGAACAAACAGTGCTGCCCTCTGATGATAGTTGATCTCTTTCGAATACTCATCAGGGTGTGCTCCATCATCAACAAATACCGGTGGAAGACATGATAGCATTTGATTGAAGAAAAATGTTTTCAGAAGAGCCGAACTAAAAAAAATCGATTCCTTAGATTGATCATTTATAATGAAACAGGAAATGACTGAATAAAATGAAATGAATGCTGCAGTAAACGCTTCGAGAAATTACCTCAAACTGCATACGAGACTGAATAAGATTCGAAATGCTTCTTTTTGAGAACGCTCTGGCTGAAATTTGAGTTTTGTGGGGATTCTCGGCATGTCTGAATGCATTTTTGATTCATTCCATGCAATTTGATTCTCATTCACTCGCTAACACAATTTACTGCAAACCACCATTCACCAATGAATTGAATAGTACTGTAGCGATTGTTAATGAAGTGATTAGTGTGGTTGTTATTCAGTGACCAAAAGTATGTTTATATGAATATAATCGTGCTGCCCTTCAGTAACAGATAATCACCGACCAATCAAACACTGATTTCGAGTTCAACAAATCGTCGACTTGCTATTAATAGAGCAGCAGTACATAAACTATTATTGGTTCAACTTAGCTATTTCAATAGATGACTGGAAACGTGAGTGAATGAATAAAAATTGAAATTGCAATCGAATTCCTGGCCGTAATAGTGAGACGCGAGATGTGCAACATTGGGATGCACTGAAGGCTTGAAAAAATAATGGTGCATACAAATAAATATGCACAACATACTTAACTGTTGCGATCGATGTGCATAGATGGAATTTTGAAGTGTTTCAATATTGAAATTTTATCTTTAAGTCTCTTCATGCATCCGTCGCTTTTTCTGTTCGTGAAAACGTTAAATGAGCACTTTTTATCATCATCATTTCTCATTACTTTGTTTTTTTTTCATTGTTTTATTCCGGAACTTCTCGAAATAGAAAAAAAATGCAAAAAGAAATGCAAAAATTTTCTAGAAATAGAAATGCAAAAATTTTCTAGAAATAGAAATGCAAAAAGTNACAATGTGAAAATTCGATGCACTTTTGGCTGTTTCACCGATTCATAAGATAAAAATATCGTATAGTGCACATCAACTTGATCGCCTCACAGAAATAAGTGCAAAAAATTGTCGATTGCATTCGTTGTTGAGATATATTATTGCGCATAGGATGGGCAGGAAGCGTTTTGGCTAATTAAAATGTGCTGAAACATTGGTCGCATCATTCTCTATTGTAAACGTTCTGTTTTTGACCGCATATATGTGCTCAATTCACATGAGCCCAATTCACAAATCGAATCTCATTATTGATCATGAGGCATGCATTCTTCACAACTTCATGGAATTTGCGGTATAAGAAAATGATACATTTGAAAAGCATTCGAAACAAACCAATGAGTTACATTCAGATTTAAGATGATACAAATTAAAACGCAAAACATTCAGGAAAGTACCCTTAACCAATATTCATGTATCATCACTGATATATCATTGTATCAACTAAGTACTAACTTATCAGAATCCATCAAAGTTATCATAACTATCAATCAATCGCTGAGTAGATCTTACCAAACAATCAGAATCTTAAAGTTTACAAATGGAATCGATCAAAGTTGATCATATAGCAAATCAACAGATTGGATTCCCGATGAAGAGAGGGAGTATGAAATGAAGAAACCAACTCGCCTCACTCACTATAACAAGCACCGTTTCCATCATTTCCAGTCCATAAGGTTTCTTGAAAGAGGTGTGCAATAGCACATCACTCATAGATCGGTCAATGTTTCGAATCGCTCCAAAGTCATGCATATCGTACGCTTAGCTGCTGGTATCGTTCAGTAACAACTAATAATTTGAATAAAATCACTGCATACATGCTTGTTTCGGATCATTTGTTTGCAATTTGACGTTAATTTTCAAGTTCGAAATTCAGTTACTCAGACACAAAATTGTCTTCGAAAGATTTATTTCTAATCTCAAACGCCTAACAAACGGTAGGTGAATGACAAGTAGAGCGGATAGAACGAAAATGCAAATTATCACGAAACTGCTAATTCGAGTTGAATGAAAGTAGTCGTTGTTAAAAATCATAATGATGAGAAATCCATATGAGGATCGATCACCTTCCTATCGAAATGAAATCAAAATTGTTCGTAGAGCCCTTCCAGATAGTTTTTTTACTGCAACATTTGCTTTGTCCATGAAGGTCACCCACTCCTCCAAATGTGCATGAAGAATAAGCACATTGATGAGCAAACGCATAAACTCACCCATGCAGTTAATGCGATAAATTATGCAACAACTCTGTGGAGCATACACTATAAAAGGACGAAAACGCCACCAGTAGATATGGTCAAAGCTGACAGA